GGCAGCGGCCCAGCAGAGCACCTCTCACCGGACGCTCCCCCAGGTGAACCGCGTGTACGTGATCTTTGACCTGCCCACCACCGTGTCCATGATCAAGCTGTGGAACTACGCCAAGACGCCGCATCGCGGGGTGAAGGAGTTTGGTGTGAGTCCCCCCAGCTGGGCTTGGGGTGATGGCGCTCACTGGGGATCAGGCTGCTGGCTGTGATCATGTGTCGCCCCTTGATGTGCCTCCCTCCATGGCCACCTTAGACATGGGGCCTGGTCCCAGAGGCAGGGACGCTGGCCACCAGCCAGGCCTTCACACCCCCTGAGATGATCTGGGTCATCACCCGACACTGAAAAGCAGGCTTTTTGCCAGGGTCTCCCCAGAGCCCCACGGGGACAGGACAGCAGGCACAGGGGCCAGAGATCCCACCAGCCCCACTGTGTCCAGGGCTCTCTACTGGGTGCTGTCCCCTCCTTCAAGTCCCCTGCAGCCTCTCCTGTGGGGGTGAAGGTCTGGAGTCACACAGTCCAGGCACACAGGGGCCCTGGCTAGTGACACCGTCTTCAGAGAAGCCTCAGTGGGGCTCTGTGGGGACAGTGTGGGAGAGCGGGTCCCTCATCCCCCCGTCCCTGCCCAGCTCCTGGTGGACGACCTGCTGGTGTACAACGGGGTCCTGGCCATGGTGAGCCACCTGGTTGGGGGCATCCTGCCGACGTGCGAGCCCACGGTGCCCTACCACACCATCCTCTTCACCGAGGACATGGACATCTGTCACCAGGAGAAGCACACGGCCATCAGGTGTGTCCCTGGCCCCCGCGCCTCTCCCTGCGGCCCTAACGAGGATGGATGGTAGGGACACTCGGCCCTGGGCCCCATGGGACCTGCTGCCTCCTCCTCCACACAGTAACCAGGCAGAGGACCAGGACGTCCAGATGACAAACGACAACCAGGCCGTCACCAGCTGCAGAAGGAAGCCGAGCGTGGCCGACCCAGGTCAGCCACGGTCTGCCCAGAGTGTCCGCCTGGGAACGCGCCAGGGAGGGGCTGGCACCCCACACCTACACGCCCTGCACACCTCCGGCACCCGGAGGGTGACAGGGACCTAACCCTGCAGCCCTGTGCAGAGGGGAGAGGTCAAGGGCAGCGGAAGCCTTGTGGGGACAGGGTCCCCTGCCCTGGGGCGCGGAGGACTCGGCCTGTTGGAGCTGCAGGCGGGGGCCAGGCCTCAGGGACCTGGAGGGCAGCCCCGTGGTGGGGCCTCCCCGGGGTGTGGGACACCCGAGGTGTAAAGCTGGGGACACCGCCCCTCTGTGCTCTGCTTCCACAGCTCTGCGCCCCAAAACCTGCATAAGTGAGAAGGAGCCAGCCAGGCGGTGGCGGTGCTGACGTGCGGAGCCCCGCCCTCAGTGTCACCAGCCAGGATCCCGAGGCTGAAGAACACAGCACAGAGGGACAGGAGACTCTGGGGTGACAGCCCTGGAAACCACTGGGGACAGGCTGCCGCTGCAGAGGGTGGCAGTGCCCTGCAACGCCGGCTGCTGCAGAGACTCAGGGACGCCTGCTTTGCCTCTCCAGCAAGTCTGGCCCGTGACCACTCGGACCCGCTGACCCTGCCTCACGCCTGGGTGCGGTGTGCGGGGCGTCCATCTGGTCCGTCTGTCCAGCTTCTTAGGCCAGGACAGGGTTGGGGGGAGGCCAGGCCTCAACCCTAGCCCCTCCATGCATAGGTGCCCCAGAGGAGGCCAGCCCAGCTGTGGTGGCCCCACCTCCCCTGCATGCCTGCCCCACTGGGAGCTGGCGGAGCCTACAGGGTGCCGTTGTTGGCCCCTCAAGGTCTGCCCGGACTGCCACCGTCCCCTCGTGTATCCAGGGTCCCCCAGGCCCTTCAGGGGTGAGCCTGCAGGACCTCTGGCCTCTTGCAGAGCCTGGGACAGGATTGGCCCTGGTGTGTGTCCTGCTGAGGGAAAGGGGAGTGAGGACCACCACCCTGGGGCCAGGCGCAGCACCTCCCCCTTGAACTTGAACTTGGCCTGGCTGCTCCCTGCCCTGGCCCTGCCCTCTGACCCCTGGCCTCTTCCTACCCTCCCTGCCTGTGCCGCTGTCGGCCCCTGGAGTGACAGGGAGGCTCCGGTGCCCAGGCCCCGCCCTCCTCCCTCCGGGGTGGTCGCGCCTGGACGGGTGCCTGCGCCCCCGGCCGAGCGGAGCCCCCGCGGCTGTTCCCATCCCTGTAACCAGCTCAGATCGGGCACCTAATTGGTTCCCGTGGTGGGTCATTTCTCGTTCCCATATTAATCCGCTGCCTTCCTGGCGCCCGGCCCGGTCTGCGCGGTGCGATTCTCCCGCGCGTTCCTGCGCAACCGCGGCCCGGGCTTTATGGGCTCCGCTTCCCGCGCGCGGGGCCACGCGGATGCACTTTGCGTTGGGAGCTTTGCGTTGAGAGCTCGGCTGATGCGGAGGTAGGAACCGCTTCCCCGGAGAAGATCCATCATCGCCAGCTCCGGCCGCGGCTCCAGATGTGCCGAGCCCGCCCCGCCTCCCGCTCCCACTCGAAAGCTGCCCCTGGAGCCGGGCTGGTCACCCAGACAGTGCCATTGCCCTGAAGGGACCCCCATCCCGCCCCAGGCACGGGAGACGCTGCGCACTGGCTGCCAGGACCCGTGGGTCTCACAACCGACGTGTGCACCCTGCATTGAAGGGGGGAGGAAAGGAGCTGTGGAGGCATTAACTGGAAAATGAATGTCTATTTTTTTCTCTTGCAAAATCAATAAAAGATGTTATTAAGAATGGAGTCGGGCGCACTGCACTTGGGTCAGACGGGCGAGCCCGTGCCGCCTCCAAGGCCCTGGGCAAGAGTCCACTTGAAACTGGCCCAGCACAGGGGCATGCGCCCTCACCCACAGGTCACAAACAGAATGTCGCCGTTATTATACGCCTGGCTGCTCATGTCACAGTCCTTGGGTTAGGCTCTGTCATGATTTCACAGAGAGGCTGTGCAACCTCCCCAGGACACACAGCTTCAGAAGCTGTTGGTCAACATGCAGATCCTGAGATGACCACTGGGCAGCAAGGCGGGTGGCAATCCTGTGAGTCTGGCTGGTTTCCCACCAGGTGTGGCTCTGCCAGCACCCAGGTGCCCGATTCCCAGGCCCCCTCCCTGCCGCACTCCTGACTCCCGATTCTGTCAGACTCCTGGCTTCCCAGTGGGAAGATGGTGCCGTTAGGCGGGGCGTGGAGGGGCGGGGCGACACACTGCAGCTCAGGGGCCAGCACAACACTGGCAGCAGCTCAGGGGGATCGTGACCAAGGTCACCTCAGTCTTGACCGCTCCCCACCCCCACTGGCGAGGTCTCTGGGCTGGGTCCCTGTTACTCAGGGACAGACAGAGCATTAGTCCTTTGGGTCCCAGAGGTGACATCCCCACCCTGGCCCTCCTGGGTGAGGGTCCCCTCCCCCACAGCCTGCATGTCCCCATCTGGGCTTCCCACTCCCACCCCAGGGCGAATGTGACCCAGCTAGAGCATCAGAGCCGGGGTTTGTTGGCACCCAGGCCTGGGTTACTGGAAACGGATCTTGGCCACAGCCAAGGGACAGCTGGCAGGGCTCCCAGAGGAATGGCGCAGGCCCTGTCCCTGGGCTCAGCCTCTCCGTCCAGCTGTGGCAGCTCCTCTTTGGGGACCGCTGGTGTCTTGCAGGGCACCCATGCCACCTCAGGAGGCCCTGCTCAGGCACGTGTGCCAAGCCGCCTGGGGCCACCTGCCACCTCCCCAGGGCCAGGCGGCCCCTTCCCTGCCCGGGGCTCCCGCTCTGGGGACTCGGTTTGCACAGTACCCACTGTGCCATCCAGTCGCCGTTTGGCTGCTGCCCCTCTCACTGGAGAGCTCAGGCTCCCCCTGCTCTGGAAAGAGGTCACCCTTGTCCTGCGTTCCCTGCTGGCCATGCCCCTGGCGGTCCCTCCAGATCCCCAGGCCATAGGGCCTCCTGCCGCCCTCCTGCCGCCCTCCTGGCTCCTCACTTGCCTGCTCACAGCGCCCCAGGCATGTGAACGTGGAGGAGCAGGAGGGGACACAGGGACAGTGCTGTGGCTCCACGGGCAGAGGCTTGGCCAGGTGGGCACGCCACCCACTGGGGGGCCTGGGGCTTAAGCCTGTGGCATCCCATTGGGCAACAAAACCAGGCTGGCCATATGCTGTGTGTGTCCCCAAGTGGCCAAGGGGTGTCCTTTGCTGCAGGTGTGTCCCACGTCTCCCTGTGGCAATCATGACACCCTTTCCAGTGTCCCAGCTCTCCAGGGGGACTTCCACTCACAGCCCCAGCTGAGGAAGCGGCCTCGGCTCCTTCGGCGGTGATAAGAGCCCCACAGACAGCTGCCCGCTCCTCGCAGCCTCCTGTGCGCATGCTCCAGGAAAGTCCTCCTCCCCGCACCGGGGATGCTGTGCCACGGTCCTGGGGCCAGCAGGCCTGGGTTCAAGTCCAGGCTCCACCACTTCCTGGCCATGTGACCTTGGCAAGTGACTTTACACCCTGGACCGGGCTTCCTTACCCAGGTGGCAGGTGAACCAAGGGTACCTGCTTCACGGTGCCACGGTGGTCCCCATGAGACCCTCATAGCTCTAGCCCTCCTGGTTGAGACGACCCTCTGTCTCAGGATTCCCCGCACTCCACAGGTGTAGACAGGCTCGGTGAGAGGGACCTTGGGGCTGCGGCGTGACCCTTGAGCCCAGGCTCTTCCCCAGAGCAGCCGGGCACCACCTCCAGCCTGGCCCCTTTCCAAAGTCCAGGACAAGCTCAGCTGATTGGTCCCTGAAGGGCACTGGCCTTAGGGCTGCAGACCTATTGGCTGAGCAGGGATGGATGTCCCGCCCCTCCTCTGCCAATCCTGCTCCTGTGTGGTTCCACAGGCCCCGCCACCTCCCCTGACTCCTGGGGGGGGGGACCCGATGCCCGCCCCACGCCCACCCCAGGCCCGCCCCACCACCCTGCAGGTGCCCCGAAGGCCCAGGGAGCCCCAGGTTGGCCTCAAGCACAAGGCAGAGGCCGACTGGCTCCTCCTGGGCCTTAGGGCCCTCAGGACCCGTGTTTCCCGGCCACCCTCCCAGTGGCTGCCCCCTGCCAGGCCCACAAGTGTCAACGCCCCCGGCTTTGTCTAAGGTAGGGACCAGAAAGTGTCAGTCCGGAGCGAAATGTGGCCCAAGAAGTGACAGCAAGGGGAACCGTGTCCCTGGCTAGATGGGGACAGGCAGGGGCCCGTCCGGTGGCCTCCTGCCTGACCATGTAGTGAACCCCACGTGGAGGAGGTTGGTCTCTATCTTGGAGGCCCCGGGCACTACCGTCCATTGGCCAGCACCAGGGCTGCCTCCACTCCCACCAGGCCCTGCTGCAGTCCCCGATCTGCTGGCCCCATTTCTGCCCTGCACCCCGTCTCCCAGGCCTGCACCCCACAGTCAGAGGAGCCTCTCACAGCCGTGCTGGTCCTGTCTTCCTTTAAAATCCCTCCTGTCAGCTGCTCCCTGGGTCCCTCAAGGTGAAAGCACAGCCCTTGTCATCGCCCAGGAAGCCCAGACTCAGACCCGAGGACTGGTGGGAAGTAGCCGCAGGTCCTCACCTCACTGCACGGTCCACACAGGCTTGTTCTCAGCCCCAGGACCTTTGCACACGCTGTTCCTCCTGCCTCACCCTCCTGTGGACAGGCCCTCCCTGCCCTCTGCCCCTCCTGCATGACATTGTCACTGTTTGAGGTGAGCTTTTACTGTTTAAGGTTTGGTGCAGGATCTGAGTCTCCCGAGTGCTCCCGAGTGAGGAGGAAGGACAGCTTCCTGTTCCAGAAGGGCAGCTCCTGCCTGAGCTCGGTTCCTGGCACCTTTTGTCCCTTGGTCAGTGTTCCTTGGAGGAGGGAGGCCGCAGCAGGTTGGTGGCCGCAGGACTTGAACCCAGGCCCACCTAACTCCACAACCCAGCGGCTCTCTGGGTCCCGGCTTCCTCCCGAGCAGCGGTCAGCCCAGCGGCAGCGGCTCTTCCCCGGGGACATGCTCCCGGCCAGCCTCGTCCTCAGCCCTGGCCGCTACAGACGCTGCCCATGAATCAAGCTGACGTTTCCATTACCCGCGGGAAACGAGTGTGTGGCCAGGCACGGGGTGGCTTCGGCGGGGGTGGTGGGGACAATTGCTGGTCACTGTCACCAGCCTAGGAGGACGTCAACCCTGTTAACTCGTCACCTCCCGCCAGAGGGTGAACCCTGGCCCCAGGTTCGCCTGCACCTGGCAGAAGAGGGGCCACCGGGCAGAGGAGCCCAGGGCCTCTGAGGGTCACATGCGGGGGCCACCAGGCTCAGCACACAGCCGGGCACAGGGAGCCGGGGCCTGTGGGGACAGAGAGGCTGAGCTCGGGCGCCCAGGGGAGAGCAGGGCCGCGGGTCGGGCCCGGTGTGGTGTCCACACCACAGGCACACACCCAAGGCCATCAGGGTCAGCACAAGTCCACTCAGCACAGGGGACTGTTCTCTGGGAAAGCGCTTTGCAGGGGCAGAGGAAGGCACCCCGTCCTCTGTGTGTTCCCCAGGGGCCCCCAGGTGGCATGCCCCTCCTCCCAAGCCAACAGTGGCCTTAGTTCCCTCCAAGTAACTCTCAGTGGCTCCTGGATTAGTCACCTGAACATCCTGGAAGTGCTCCCTGTTATCTAACCAGCAGCCCTCTTGTTACACTGGAAAATAGCTAGTTTCCAGCCCCTTCCGGACGTGCTCAGGAGGAGACAGGAGGACTTGAAGTCCCAGTGGCCCCGTGACCCTCCTACCTCTTCCCTTCCCATGTGACAGGGGCCCTTGCAAGCCGCCCCCACGCCATGATCACACACCAGTGCAGGATTGTTTATTTGATATTTCCTTTGAGCCACCTCTTTGCTTGTTACTGAAATGCCCCTTTGGCTTCATCCCAGAGGGAAGTCCATGACTCGGTGGCTTGGTGGCTCTGATGTGGCTGGAGACACTGTTTTCTAACACACAGAAACACGACTGTTAAAAGAGATGGAGATCGTCCCAGTGTCAACTACAGCCACCCCTGGGTCTCCTGGGGCCTGTTGGCCGACTTCAGTTGACCCCGGTGACAATAAAGCCGCTTGGTGACCTGGGCCGATTCCTGCCCGACTTGTCCCAGCCGGGCCCCGTTCCTGGAGGCTCTGTCTGACCTGGTCCTGCCGGTCGAGGTCATGGTCACTGGCCCGTCTCTCCCAGGCTCTGCCCCCCATGGGGGGTCCTCGGTATCCACCAGGGAAGGAGAAGGACGCATGGTGGCCACAGGATGAGTGAGTGCATGGGTGACCCAGGCCTCGCGGTGTCCCCAGGCACTGAGACGCCCGACGTCCAAGACTGAAATCTCCACCTTCCCCAGCACTCAGCGGAGGTCACCTGGCTGGCCGCCTCCCACAGGGGTCCCCTCTAGGTCCTGTGGCTCGTCCCTCCTACCAGGCCCTGGCCCCCGGCCACTGTCCTAGGCTCACTGTAGGCGTGGGATGAGGACAGGGTCCCGCTCCCGGGCAGCTGCCTTCCTGGGACACCACCTGCCCACCTGCTCTGTGGGAGTGGCCATTGCCCGGCTCAGCCCCAGGCTCCTCCAGAAACCGGTGCCCTGGCTGTCCCCACTGACCCCTGCAGTGACGGCCACCACAGCTCTGGCTGGCTCCTCGCCACGCGTGCCCCTGGGTAACTGGCCAGCCACCTGGAGGGTGGCCGAGCTGTCCCTCTCCTGCTGCCTGGGCCTCGATCACCTGCACCTGGGCCTGGACCTCATTTTCTTGAAGAGCCTCCCCTGACCACTCCCTCCACCTGTCCCCAGCAGGGGACGCCCGTAGGCTCCCGTGGCCCCAGCATCCCTCCTCGTGACAGTGAGCTCCAAGGAAGCGCCTGGGGTGAAGGTCCGCAGCTGGCCCCTTGGCCCTCTGACAAGGACGTCCATTTAGTGGATGAGGAAACTGAGACCCAGAGGGGTCAAGCAACCTGTCCCAGGTCACCAACAGAGAGGGAACCTGACCCTGGTGGCCTCGTCCCAGAAGGGGACACTGAGCTGTGACGGCCTGGCTCGTCCTCTGTCCTGCCGTCTGCGGGCACCGAGTGACAACAGATGGCCTCTCCCGTGGCCCACCTGGAGTGCCTGCCCCAGGGCCTGGTCACGGTGGAGGCTCGGACGACACCCTGGGCGGGTGGAGCCACGGGGGGGGGGGGTGACGAGGAAGGTAACACCTGGAGGATGGTGGGGACATCTGGTGTCGGGGACAACCAGTGAGGGACGGAGGGAGGGTGGGATGGGTGGGTGATGGATGGGTGTGTGGGTGGACAGGTGGGTGGATGGTGAGTGGGTGGGTGATGGACAGGTGGACAGGTGGACAGGCGGGTGGATGGATGGTGGAGGAGTCCGGGTGGTGGACGACAGACAGTGGACACTGTGTTCTCTTGGGCAGAAAACTCTCGACACCCCTGGGGGCCCCTGGGGACGGAGCCTGGGGTCCGGCTTCCTGGTCTGACTCAGCTCGGCCCTTGGCCGGCTCTGGAGTCCTCGGCAGGTGGCTTCGTCTCTGTGACCCTAAACTCGGTCATTCTGAGGACAGGGATCCACTTCGCCGGCGTCTGCACCTGGGGTTTCAGAGAGAGGTGGCCCCAGGGTGAAGGGTCCCCTGGGCCAGGGCTGTGACATCGCTGGGCTCTCAGGGGGAGCGGGCTTCACCTTCCGGCTCAGGGCCACCTCTGTCCCCACCTGGAGCCCTCGGCGGCCCTCCGGCCCGTCCCTCCCGCTTGCCCCAGGCTCCCGCATCCCTCTGCTGGGCCCTGGCCCAGTGCACTTGGCTCAGTCCAGGCTCCTTGGGGTGACACTGACCCTCGGTGGGGCAATGACACGACAGCCATCGCCCAGAGAGCAACTGGGCTCCACACTCCACAAGAAGTCGGGTTCAACAAGCATTTATTGAGCTCCTGCTGTGTGCCTGTTGGGTGGCCCTCCGCGGTGCCAGCCGCTGCCCTGTCCTTCAGGACCCCACGTCCCCACAGGGCTCTGCTCCTCTGGGCACCTCCTCAGCTTCCTGGCTGGTCGTGGGGGTCCAGCACTCAGTGGCCAGTGTCCTGGGTCTTTGCGGGCCGTGCCCAGCGGGGCGCTGCGTGCGGTGGTGGCAGGAGTCCAGAGCTGGCATCCCCTCTGTGTGGCCAGCAGCCCCCGGGGCCACCCTGGCATGACTCAGGGCCCGAGCCCCGGTGGTGGCAGGACAGGCCTGGGGTCCCCTCACGGCCACCGAGTCCACCCAGGCCGGGTTCCAGGCCCCAGACCAGGCTCTCGTGGGAGGGATGGTGCCGGCGATGGCGGGCGTCTGGGGCTGGGCCGGGCTCGGTCACACCCAGTGTCCCAGGACCCAACACTGGCGGTTCAGCTCGGGCGCCTCCTGTGCTGCGCTGCGGGGCCAGGAGTCCCCCAGGTGCGGCTGGTGTCCTGCGAGAGAAACAGCGGTCAGCACTGGGCGCCCACCCACCAGGCCTCCCGCCCCGGCCACCGCAGCCCAGTCCCCACGGCCACCCATCGGCTCGCCAGCCTGGACGCACACCAGCCACCCCTGCCGCCATCCACCCAAGGACCCAGAAATGCACCTGCCCCGACCCCGGCTCTCTCCCCACAGGTCACCCGCAGTCCCCCATCCACGCCTGCCACCCAGGACGCAGCCACTGGCACCCCCACCTCCCACCCAAGACCACACATCTGAACCCCTTTCGCACACAACACCCCCGAGCCACCCCCGTCTTCGCCCCCGACTCACGGGCACGTCCCCGGGAGTCCACTGTGGCGTCCACCACGTGCCCACAGGTGTCCTGCCCGATGCTCACCCTCCTCAGGCTACTGGCTCCATCCTGCCTTTCCCACCCCCTGTCCACCCACCTGTCCACCGCAGCCCAGCCTTCATGCCCATCTCTCCACTTCCCGTCCACCCTGGGGAGGCACGGCCTCCGTCCAGTGGGTCCACTCTGAAGTCTATAGAGGCGACCTCCATCCCCCCAGTCCCTCTGGCGCCCCAGGCCACGCCCCGCTAGGACCCCCCTGCAGAGGGCCTAACCTGACATTGTCCTCCACCATCTCGGGACACCCTGAGGGCCCTGCCCTGTCCCCTGCGCCCCATGACTCTGAGCCCCAGGGAGCAATGACAGACCCGTGGCGAGGGGCAGAGATGGCACAGGGACGGGGAGAGTGGTGGGCCCTTCCTGAGCCCGAGTCCCCAGCTGGCCCGCGGGGTGATGTCCACCGTCTTACACCGGGGAGGGCGGAGGCCCAGCCGGGGGCCCAGCGGCCACCCTGCGGCGGCTGGACTGGCCTCTTCCTGATGGTGACCTGAGCCGCTGGAGGGCTGGCCCAGGTCCTGTTCCCCGCCTGGGCTCTCCGGCTCGTCCACTCCCACTTCTGAATTTTAGGGGGGGACGGGCTCCTCTGGGAAACCCACGAGGCAGGAATCCCTGTCCTGCCTGTCACCCCAGGACGGGAGCTCAGGTCGCAGGGGGCTCTTCCCAGTCGCGAAGGCGGGACGGAGGCGAGGACAGAGGGCTGTGTCCGCTGTCCTGTGAGTGGGTCTCTGTGTTTTTAGGCAGCGGGAAACGTTTGCCAACCATTTGTTTTGGCCGCAGCCACTGGAACGGCCTTAGGAACAGAAGTGCTGGCTGCCAAGAGGGAGGCGTCTGGGTTTGTTTTTTTTTTTTTTTTTAATTGAGAAGCAAATATTTGGTGCATGGGGAGGTCTGTTGTTTTCTCAAGGAGTGTTTAGATGGGAGCTGCTCTAACCCTGGACAGTTCCCTGAGGAAGTGATCTTGGGCGGGTGGGTGCTGGGGACTGGACCCAGAGGCTCTTTGCCCCGAGCCACAGCCCAGTCCTTCCTATTTTGATTTTGAGACACGTTGTCGCTAATTAAGGTCTGGCTACGTTGCTGAGGCTGGCCTCGAACTTGGGATCCTCCTGCCTCAGCCTCCTGAGTCGCTGGGATGACAGATGACAGCTGTGTGCCACGCACCCAGGGGTCACATACATTGTCAGGAAAAAGAGAAGCCCAGGACCCTGTGCATCCTCGAGTCACAATGGGACGCTCTGTCCCTGGGTCTGGAGACCAGGTCACTGAGCACCGAGGCTCCCCTCCTCTTCTCTGGCCTCCAGAAAGGGACACTGAGCCACTGACAGTGCGTGTCCCCCACAGGGCACCAGGACCCACCTGCAGGGCACCGGGACCCCGCCCACTGCCCTTCTCCCCGATCTTTTTGGTTTGGAGCCTGTGCTGTGGACTGAGGATCCCAACTCAAAACAGCCTCTGGGCCACAGTGAACCACAGGTGACAGGGCAGAGGCGGCCTGCTCTTCCCTAGTCAGTGTCACCACAGGCAGGGGGACAGCTCTTCCAAAACGTCCGAGACACTGAAAATGTGGATTTCAAAATAAGAGCCCCTGGCCTTTAAATGAGAGCAATTGGGACTTTTAAACATTCAGGCCACCGAGAGAGCCGCACCCCTCAGGTGACTCAGCCCACCGAGGCCACTTCATGACCTCTGGTTTGTCCCTTAGACTCTGTCCCGTGTCCTTGATCCCAGTGCTTGTCACTTTGTGTGGTAAGAGCCAGTTTCGTGTGGCTCTCTCTGTCACCCAGGGACGGGGATGTCTGTGGGCAGGGACAGGGTGGGCCTCTACCTGCAGCCCTCTGTCCCCAGCCCCTGGCCTGGCCTGGCCCAGAGCACACCCTGGGCTGAGGTGGGGGAGGAGGGGCGAGGGAGGCTGAGCTCGTGGGGTCCCTGCGGCCTTCCTGCTCTGAGCTGATGGAATCCTCCCACCCACGGGGTAACTCAGAGGGTTCAACAGTCCCGGCTCCACCACTTACAAGCCATGTACATTTTTTAAGCTGTGTGGCTTTTGACAAGCAGCTCCACCTCTCTGAGCCTGCAAATGCATGTGAGGTACAAAGGCCCAGCCGGCCTCCCACGGGGAGCCCCTCCCCACGCGACCTCAGATACTGATGGAAAATGACCCAACGCCCGTCCTGGGATAGGGCTGGGCCCCGGCCTCTGTTCACAGAAGGGGAAACAGGCTCCTAACAAGAAGAGGTTCTCCAAGTCCCAGCCTCGTCCCACAGTTGGTGGAGGCACCGTGTTTTGAAGTCCATGGGAGCCTGCCCCACCCAGGCTCAGCAGAGTTCCGGGAGGGCATATGTGTCCCCGGGGGGTGAACTCTCTTTCCTTCCAACCCAGATACCCAGACACGGCCCTCTCTTCAGCTGGCCGAGAGCCCCTCTGACATCCGACCGGTGGCTGCCCAGCCCTGCACAGGGTGGACGTTGGTCTGCGCAGCATCCACGTGGGAGGGCAGATCACCACCCCTCCCCCTTCGTCTGTCTTCTGGGGACCCCTTGTTTCTGGGCCCTTTGTCTCTTTTTCAAATTTGGGATGGGGGGGCGGAGCGTTCCTGCCACCTCCCCTGAGAGTCACTGATGACTGGCATTCCTCCATGTTGGGCACTGGGTCTCAGAGCCAAGTGACACACCGTCTGTCCTCTGGGTGCTCAGGTGGCATGAGGGGGACGGACACACACCTGCAGCACCTACTAAGGCTGTGAGCCCGTCGACGTGCCCTGAGCGTCAGCTCCTCGGATCTTGTAAAACCCACGTCAGCGGAGGCCCATTTTGCAGATGAGGAAACCGAGGCCCAGAGAGGTCCCGTCACCAGCCCAAGGTCTCACCGTTGGGATCTGAGTCCAGGCAGACTCCTCCGAAGGTTGGGCTCGGACTCACGATGACATTCACACACACAAGGGCCAGGGACTGGGACGCGTGGAGAAGGACACCCCCCTCTTCAGGGGCTGGAGGGGGGCCGGTGGCCATTCCCGGGCTTCTGAGCTGGACTTGCAAAGCAAGCCCCTGCTGCAGCCCCTGACCCACTAGTAGGTCCTGTTTTCTGCCTGGTGAGCGAGGCCAGGCCACCTTGGGCACAGGGAGCGGGGTGCCAAGTGGACTCCTGGCAGCCTGCAGGGGTCTCAGGAGGTGTGGGGAGCCCAGCAATGCCGGGTGAGGGACAGCCGGGTGAGTGACAGGTCCCCGGGCTGAAAGGCTACAGCTGCAAAGGCTCCTGGGAGCCCAGCAGACCCCCAAGGAGCGAGGATTCACCCCGGGGTCCCAGGGTCTCCACCTCCTCTCACCTGTCGCAGGTCCCTGGTCCCTCCCAACGGAGGACTTCCCAGGGACTCTACACCTTAACAAGTGCCCCGCGTGTTCTTAGCAACAGGACGGCTGGGGTGCCCCTGCCTCGGACAAACAGGGGCCTCCCGAAGGAGGGAGGGTCCCATGGGCTGTGACCCAGGGCCAGAGGCTCTGCTTCTGGGAACCAAGTGCCTTCACTGTAAGACGGAGACGCTGCGCAGCGCTCAGACCTCCTGACTTCAGAGGGGCCGGGGCTGGCGCAGGGCTGAGCGCTATTCTGAATTTGGTGCATGGACCAGGGGCATCGGCATCCTTGGTACAACGCAGACCCCAGGTCCCGGCCAGAGCTGACCGGGGACCTCCCAGGGTGGGGCCAGCTGTCCGTCAAGCCCTCTAACGAGTACCCCCCCACACCGTGGGACTCTGATGCTAACGGTGGCTTGAGTCTCTTGGCCCCAGGGCTGGGGTCTCCGACGTCTTCAAGTTGTGTGCCCACCCGTGCTTCCAGCAAATTGGCCTTGATATTTATTTCAGAAGCACCGTCTGCTTCCGTTTTAATAAAGGAGGCCACGCGAGGGGCTCGGCTGGATTTGCTTTTGATCTAATAAAAATGCCAAGTTGCTCGGGGACCAGGAAAAAAGTCTTTCTTGAAATTCCCTCTGCTATTTTGAGGGCAGCTGTGGCTGAGACCCGTCTAGACGGAGCTCCCAGAAGCCACCTCTGTGCCCGCCGAGTGACAGCCTCTCGCTGAGCCAGGCCTCCCAGACACACCTGGAAAAATCAGAGGCTCGTCTCTGGCATTGAACTTGACAGCCACAATCAGCTGCAAAACCCAGCCGCCCCGGAACGGAAGATGCAGACACCTGGCCCGTACGGCAGTGTCTCCTCATCAAATGTCACGTCTGATGTGCTCCTGAGCTAGCTGGTGGCACTGGGAAGCCCCAAAGGCGGGTTTCAAAGGCAAAATCTTTCCTCAGGAATTAAAAAAAAGAGAGAGAGGGAAAGTGGCAGAATCCATATCACAGAAACCCAAGGGGGGAAGGTGGGAGGAAATCTGGGGACAGCAAAGATAACCCAAAGCTTATGTAACCGTTTATGTCAAGCACGGTGCCTTCCACAGGAAGTGGCCTTTCAGCTGATGTTAAAGGTGGGACAGCGTGAGCCATGCAAAGGGTTAGAGGGAGAGCATTAGGCGGAGAGGACAGGAAGTGCATGTTCCGGCTTTTGGCTGAGCAGCAGGACACAGAGGAGCCGGGAGGAGGTGAAGTCGGGCCCTGGGGCGGGAGGCTGTGAGCAGGGGCCGCCTCAGACAAGGACTGGGAAATCTAGAGGCCAAGAGAGCCCCGCAGTGTGGCCTGGCCTCTTGGTGCTGGGTCCTCCACCCCCGTAAGAGGACCTGGGCTGGACCTGCCGTCGGGCGTGTTGAGTGACATGGCTCAGACCAGCTTCACCATCAAGTCCAGGGGTCAGCACCAAGCCGTGAACCAGCCCCCAGTCAGTGTCCTCACGGCCACCCACGGCAGTCCCCAGCCTCGCCCCGAGCTGCGTGGGCGCCGCCCTCTGTGTTGACTTCATGGCAGCGATGGCCACGCAGCCGAGGCGGGGGGGAGGGTCTCTCTGCCCACTGCAGACCTGGGGCCTCACCAGCGTCCAGGAGCCTGTCCTGCCTCCGTGTCCCCAGGACACAGAGACGCCTCTCTGATAAATAGATGACCCCACAAGGCAGCCCTGTTAGGGTGACTGGTCTGTCCCCTGCCGTGTGACATGGGGTCTGCAGCCCTCCCTGGGCGAGGCCACCTGACGGAGGCACACGGGGCACCTCAGAAGCAGGGCTTGGGACCTCCTGGGGCAGCCGATGGCCCCCTGCCTCCCCCTCTGCCTCTGGCTCCTGGGGGAAGGGACCCTCATGCTGGACGCCGCCCCGTCGCCCACGCTGCACACCCACCGCCCCGAGGCCCCGCGCCCTCCCGGGCTCCGCATGTCACCAACGCCCTGACCACACGGGCGGAGTCCCCGGGCAGGCCCTGGGCTCAGGCTCCCCTGTCCCTGCGGGCCTCGGGCTGAGCTGGCCAGCCTTGAGCCAGGAGTGTCAGCGGTCACACGTCTGGCCATCCCAGTGACCCTTAGTGACCCCAAGGAGCTCCTGCCACAGCTGGGCTGGCTCCGCGCCTGTGCCCTGCGCCCTGTGCCCCACTCCCTCCGGGGCCCTCCTAGGTGGCTTCCTCTGCTCTGGGGTCTGCGGTGGCCCCGTCTCGGGGGCTTTGCTTCCAGGGGACCCCAGGCCAACACCGTCGGAAACGACCAGCAAAGTGCTCCTCGGTCACCCCTTCCCTCTCCACTGCCACCTCAGGCCACCGCCAGGTCCCCCAGGAACAACGGCAACAGCACAAATGCCAGGCCAGGGTCCTCGGCCTGGTCCTCTCCCCAGTGGACGCTCCTCTCCGTCTCCCCAGGAGACGCCCGGTCACTCCATCCCCTGGCTTCCTCCAGGCCCCTTCTCCCACGAAGCCCCCAGCCCAGCTCAGACGCCTGGCACGATGCTGGGAGGGAGGCCCCATGTCCAGTCAGGGCCACCCCTGGCCCCAGGCATGTTTTGGCCACTTCCTGGCTCCCCGCCTCCTTTCTTAGCATCCCAACTCCACTGGGGGGCAGGGACACAGGCACTGTGCAGAAATGGCCTGCCACCCTGGACGCCAGGTGCAGTGTCCCCATGGGCCTGCCACCCTGGACACCAGCCGCAGTGTCCCCCTCTGTACCACGGCCCGGGGAGCAGCAGGCCCCAGGGCAGCCGGCCGGGCTCGTCTCCAGGGTTCCTGGTCCTCGGGCGGCAGGTGCCTGTGCAGGAGGTACTTACGGGCGGGGTACCTCTCGTGGTGACAGTCCAAGTGGAAGTCCTCCTCCTCGCTCCCGTCCCCCTTCTCCATCCTGGAAAGAGGAGGAGGGAATAAGAGGCCGAGTCAGCGAGAGCAGGGGCGAAGCTGCAGCCCCCCTTTAGGAGAACATTCTGTAAGCACTTTCCCACCGACCGCCCTCGGCCTCTGCCAAGCCCTGCAGCCGGTGTCCCTGCTCGCATTTTATTGAGGCACCTGGAGGGGCTGGAGGCAGGACGGGGGTCCCCACCATTCTTACAGATGGAGGGTCCCAACCGCACCCCAATAAGTGTGTGCATCACAATATGCGCATGATAAATAGCAGCACGTTACAGGAGACGCTGCAGTTTGCTTTCAAAGCTATGCACCGAGGGGCACAGAATAGCAGGGGACAGTGGCTCTGTACCGCTGTGTGACATTCTTAACTGAGTTAAAACGCTTCCCAGAGGAAGTTCCACTCTGCTCTCCCACGGGCGCAGGGCTCCTGCCACCCCCACTCTCCCTCCTTCCTCTTCCTCTCTCCCCCCCCCCAGGCTGGGGATGGAGCCCAGGCCCCCGCACGCTGGGGGGACCCTCGTCCCGAGCCGCCCCTGCAGCCGAGACTGGCCCCTGTGGTCTCCTCCGGGCATCAAGGCTACCGAGGCCTCACGGCCTCCCCGGGGGGCAGCGGAGGGGCAGCGGAGCGGCAGCCGGGGAGTGGGGGAGTCACCTGCGCCCCACCTGCTCCAACCTGACCCTCCCGTCCCACGGGCAGTGGGCGTGGCCACCCTCCGTCACTCCTCCTTAACCCGAATAGATGCCCCCTCCTCGGGGTCCAGCCTGGACGTGCACCGGCCCCCGGAGGAGGAACGACCCCAGTCACCTCCGCGCCTCCCCAGAAACATCGGGGTCTCCCAGCAGCGCCCCTGCCCCTCTTCCCTGCCCACCTTTGCCTTTGACCTTGCCGCTGCTCCAGACGACTCTCTCCTCCCGCCTCTCTCAGCGCACCCCGGCCCCTCCCTTCTCACCTCCCCTTCTCTCCACCGCTCCCCTCTTTTCTCTCCTGCCGGGAAGTCACCTCCCTTTCCACAGCAGAGCCCGGCTCTGCTGGAGAAGGTGCAGGGACCCCGGGGAAGAGGAGCCGGGAACGCGCAAGCACACACACCCCGGGCCTGTGGTCCTCTGAGACCCGCGGCTCCCTGGCTCCTTCTCCAGGACCTGCTCTGTGGGGAGGGACGGGCCTGCTCCACAGCCTCTGCCCTGGCCGGGAGGCGGCCTGCACACGAGGTAGAGAATGGTGGACACCAAACCACAGCACACCAGCCGTCCACTCTGCCTACTCCCGGGGTCGGGGCCTGACTTTCCTGGGGACAATAGGAACACCGTTCTTGTTCTGTGGCCCAGGTGGTCCCAGAGGGCGGAACGCCTTTGTTGATGTCATAGGAAAACAATTTCAGTTGGGTGGAAAGTGGATGTCCTCTATTTTCTATTTCATTTCTTTTTCTTGAAGTGGAAGCGTCCTTGTTATGTCCTGATATTGCAAGCTTGGGGAAAGGCACTCCTACAGCCCAGAGAGGGCAGAGTCCTCCTTCCGTCACGCTCCGGCGGGGGGGGGGGGGGCAGCGCTGTGGCACTGTGACACTGTGGCGCTTGTCTTTGGAGAATTCATACATTTGTTTTCACCCTCTGAACCTCAGACTCAACACACTGCTGTGCGCCCTGTGTTCTGTTTACCCAGAGACTCCCACCACCTTTGGGGATCTGCACGATAGGTCCCCCTCGCCTCTTCTCCCCGAAGCTGCGGATGAAAAAGTAATTTACGATTCAAAATCCCACTGGCATGGATTTCCCTGAGTGTGTGTGTGTGTCCAGGTGGTGCGTCCCCGTCACCACCAGAGCTGCCCATCGTGAAGCTGCAGCTGGGTCAGACACTGGGCGGGAGGCTGGACCAGGGGACAGCCGCACCCCACTGGGGGCCACCTGTGGGCCATGTCTGGCACCCCTGGCCGTGGACAGCGCTTTCCCAGCCTCTGCTTCTCGGTCTCAACCTGAGCGCAGGCTCCTCGTTCTCCTGGTTCTTAGGATTCACCTGCTCCAGGTCTCCATGTGGGCCTCCCCCTGGGTTCCGCCTGGAGCCTCAGCCCAGAAGGAGGGACCCAGAGCCCAGGGGCTGATGCTCAGGAGGTCCCTTCCCTCCCTGGCGGTCCCAATCTGGCTGCCAAGAAGCCCCAAGTTCAGTGGTATCCAGCCACACACGCCAATTAGCGGGCATCTACGCGGCCAGGCCCCGGTGGGGCTGGGGGCCACGGGGTGACCCGGCGAGGGCCCTGATCTTGAGAATGGGCTGGTTTTACACTTGGCACGGTCATGGCCGCGCGCACGGTCACGGCCACGCGCCCTGCGTTGCTGGCGCCCAGGGTGTTCAAGGCCGGCGGGCGGAGGCCCGTCCAGTCCAGGGTTGGCCAACGTGGCCTGTAAAGAGCCAAACAGTGAATACTGGAGGCTTTGGGAGCCATATGGTCTCTGTCTCTGTCGCCCCAAGCCACAGGTCACATGGGTGTGGTTGGTTGTTAGCTGCTTACTTACAGCAGCAGGTGGCCGGAGGGATTTGGCCCACACAGATTCTGTTTTAACCCCTGCCCAGCCCGCGGCTCTCAGAGGGGAAAGTCGTCAGTGGGGGCAGTTTTGAGCTCCCCCAGGGGCGGTAGTGGCCAGTCGGGGTGGGAAACCCCTGTGTCGGGACCGGCAGAGGACTTGAGGGGGAGGAGCGGCCCTTCAGCTCCTGGAGACCGCCGGACCTGCTCTCCTCTCAAAGTTGAAGCTGAGCTGCAAGCGGATCTGCTGTCCTCAGGGTCACCCTTGTGGAAAGAGCTGGTTCCTCGCACAAACACAGGCCTCCCCCCTCACTCCCACCGTGAAAACCCAGGTCCCGCGTCTGCAGGGCTTGGCAGCCACCTGGTGAGGCCCAGGCTGCTGGCCCCGCGTCTCATCCCACAGTTCCCGTGACACGGGGGCATCACCCACAGGACGGAGGTCTGGGCGGGAGACCTCCCAGAGACCCTCCCAGAGACTCCCTCCTGCCCCCCCCCTCCACTGGCTGGTATTTGGGAGGAGGCTGCGGAGACCCAGGAACACCCACTCCTTCCAGATGAACCTCCGCCGTCCCCCCACCATCCCCCCATCGTCCCTCCAGCACTTCCCACTGAGGGACCCCTGTGCCTCCACCTTCCTTAGGCCAGCGCTGGTCACTATCTAACAGTGCAGGTCACCCAGGGACCACCGTCTCCAGGGGCCGCCTGTGCGCTCTGGGCGCCGCCCCCCTCTCAGGAAGAAAGCAGGGCCCCAGAGGGCCAAGCAGCCAGCCGCCAAGCAGATGGACGAGGGGCTGGGACAGGGCGCCCCCAGGGTGCAGACCCAGGAAACAGTCACCGAGGACAAGGGACATGTTGATCTTGCAATGACCAGTTTGCAACGGAATGAAGAGGAGTCTGGCAAATAAATGGCCATGGGTAGCAAATCAAGACTCCACAGAGCCATCCAAAGGGCCACCCCGAGGTGGGGAATAAGTGGGTTTTAAAAACATTCGTTCCTTTGCCTTTTCCTGCGTGTGTGTGTGTGGGGGGGGGGAGAGGGGGGGGAGGGGGAGAGAGAGAGAGAGAGAGAGAGAGAGAGAGAGATATCACGGTGCAAAGCATTTGGAGAAGAACAGAGAAGAACATAAAGTCGTGCCCAGCGTCCATGCCCTGGCCGATCTCTGTGGTGGTCTACAGTCTCCCCCCCTCCAGCACTACTGGGCTTAAAGAGATCTGTGCCCAGCGCAGTGGCCCACGCCTGGGATCCCAGCCGCTCAGGAGGCTGAGGCAGGAGGATCGAAGGTTCAGAGCCAGCCTCAGCAACTTAGCGAGACCCTGTCTCTAAATAAAATATAAAAAAGGGCTGGGGGTGGGGCTCGGCGGTTAAGCCCCTCTGGGTTCAATCCCCAGCACCAGAGGGGGGGGACCCATAAATGCAAACACCCTGATGATGGCGGCCAGGACGTTGGGACCTGGGACGCTCACCCGCAGGAAGGTGGTACCCACCCTCCAGCCCCAGCCCCTCTGACAACCTGAAAGGGTTCCCCCAGCCACCAGGGCACCACCGACACCGTGAAGCCCCCTCCCCAGCCCAGACTGGACACCAGGAAGCAGTGGGGTGGGCAGTCACGGAGGGAGGTGGGGGACACCAGGGTGGTGACACTGCTCACGACTTGACCACAGAACAGTGGGGGAAATGCTGGGGACAGGTCCAGCAGGAGAGGACGGGTCAGAGCCACCGAGGCAGGAGGATGACCGGGTGACTGCAGAGGCCCGGGGTCACTGGGCACAGGGGCGGGGTCTGAGGAACCCCGAGGCTGGAGAGTTCGACAAGGAGCTGGTGTCTGTCCCGAAGGCCGTGAGAAAGGACTCCGGTGTCTGAGACGGGAGGAGGGTCAGAGCAACCCTGGCCATTAGCATAGGAAGGGACGTGGGCGGCGGGGACAAGGACGGAGACACAAGGGCCACACAGGAGCTGCTGGGTTCAGAGTGGCGGGCAGGAGCGGGCAGAGGTGACCTGCAGTCGTCCCTCCTCTCTGTGGATAGTGGGTCCAGGACCCCCGCGGATGCCGGGACCGCGGACAGGGAGAACCCTCTAGAAGGACCCCCTGATTTTTCCCAGGATCAATTTTAGTGTATAAACGAGACACAACGAGAGTCACGACAGAGCCACTCCCAGAACGGGACAGTGACAACAGGTTGCCACAAACCATCGGAAACCTGAGAATTTCTTATTTCTAGAATTTTCCTTCATCCTGTCAGACACTGGTCAGCGGCAGGTCCCTGAAACTTTGCAAAGTGAGACCAGGGTTAAGGGGGACCACGGTGACTGGGGAGAAGGCACCCTGTCCCCAGGGAAGGGTGTGGGGGTGAAGAAAGTGGCCCAGGGGGACATGCAGCCCCTGGCTCCTGCAGACCGGCCGGGCCACTTAGAGGTGGAGATGAGGCGGGTGGTAGGGGGTCAGTGCCAGGAATGGACTGTCCACCTGAAGTGACCTTGAGAGGGCAGCTGGAGGTGGTCCTGGGTGCCATGTAGACCCCTGGGCCCCATGGCCACTGGGACTGAGGCCAGAGGGGGACATGGGCTGGCCCCTCCCTGGGGGAGGCCAAGCCGGCAGCTCCGAGGAGAAGGACGCGGCGGGAACCACAGGGCAGCCCGTGCACGGACCCGGGAGGGGGCCGTGGGGCCCCGGGAAGAGCCATCGGAGGTTGCGTGTCACCGCTGAGAGCCGTCTGGTGGCGCGAGGGGGTGGACGCCAGATTGGAGCGTGTGGCGTGGTGAGTGGGAGGTGAGGACGTGGAGACAAGCTTCAAAGTCCCCACACGGGGCCACGTGCTGCGGGAGGGCGGGGCCAGCTGGTGGAGCCCTGGCCGGGTCGCCCCTGTGCCGTGTGCAGAGGCCAAGGCTCGGCTGGCCCCCCGGGTGAATGATGGCACCGAGGGACAGGGCATCGGGCAGTTTCTGTCTTGTCTGCAGATTCAGCCCGTACTAGTGAAATAGCAGCCACCACCCCAAGCACAATGGGAGGATAAGAGAAGGAACAGACCTGAGCTCTCCGCCCACCCACACCTTGCTCTCAAATCCCACCCAACGGCGGAGACTTTCCTGAACGCTCTTGGTTTATTTGCCCCCTTTGTCCTTCGTTCATGTCACTCCCTGTGTCTAAAGTGCCCCCCTTCCCTCACCACGGGTCTGTCTGGTGAAGGATTCATGGTTTTGAAAAACGTGGCTCAAGGATCTCCGGCATGAAGCCTGTTCTAGCCTCAGTCTCCCACCAGGATGGGACTGACCCCTCCTGCTTGGGGTCAACTCCAGGAGATCTCCTAAGGGCACCCATCAAAACTCTGCTATGCTCACTGAGCTGTGGACAGGGGACTGCAAACTCAAACACTTCAGCCCATTGTTTCAAACAGGATCAGGAAGCCAGCGTGGCCAGATCCTCTGCTTTCTTATGAGAAGCCAAAACCCTTAATTTGGGGGTGGGGCGTCGGGGTACCAGGAATTGCACTCATGGGCCCTCGACCACTGAGCCCCATCCCCAGCCCTATTTTGTATGGTATTTAGAGACAGGTTCTCCCTGAGTTGCTTAGGACCTCACCATTGCTGAGGCTGGCTTTGAACTTGGGATCCTCCTGCTTCAGCCTCCCAAGCCACTGGGATGACAGTCGTGCTCCACCGTGCCCAGCTCAAAACCCTTAACTTTTAATATGAAACTTCCTGATTTTAAAACTTAGCCAAAATTTAAGCATTTGAAATCCACCAGAGTGTGTAAAGAAACTCCGTCTTCAGGCAGGATCGGCCAAGGGCTACTGGTCTGCGCCACGCCCCGGCCCCTTTCTCGGTCAGGGAGGGTCTGATGCTCAGAGTGAAATCCCGCGGGGTCAGGGAGGGGGAGCCCCTGGTCCAATCTCCTGTCTCGGGACCCTAACCACCGGCTGGCCGCTGTGCATCAGCCTCCAGGCAGAACGACTCCCGAGGGGAGGAGACTTGCCTGGGGAGCGGGGGGGGGGGGGACCCCGCTGGTGATGCAGACTGGAGTCCACCTCGGGTCTGTTTCTTGGTGTTTTCCACGTGGACTGGGGGCAGATGGCGGGCAGGCACCTGGGCGGTGCCCGCAGTGGGCCAAGGTCACTGAGCGCCCCTGGCTCTGGGCCCTGGAGATGGAGGCAAGAAAGACCAGCCCCCGCCCGGGACCACCAGGAAGGAGGCAGATGGAAACCCCGAGTGGACAGGAGTCAGGACTGCGCAGGGGGGGGGGCGGGGGCGGGGCCGGAGCGCGGCTGCCCCCAGGTCCCCCGGGCCCTGCTCCCAGGCCAGGCGGGCGCTTGCTCAGCAGACCCAGGCCTGAAGGGTGCCCCTGGGTCTCCCAGAGCCGCTGGGCCACGGAGGACACGGGGCCATGGCAGCCCGCTCTGCCGACCTGGCACCCAGCTCCCCGCGTGAGGCCCTGCCAAGAGGCGGTCCTTAGGGACAGCAGGCAGGGTGACACCAGGACACTTCAATTCCAGATGTTTCTCAGAGCCCAGACTGGCCGTCCCTGCCCCAGAGCCAGCGCATGCCCACTGTCCCCCATGTGTGCACTCGAGCTCACACGCACACACTCGCACACACAAATACACACACAGACACCCCCACAGACACGCACACACACACTTGCACACACACGCGCCCACACGCCTTTCTTCCACACACAGCGCAGTTTCAAAGCCCCCGACCCATCAGAGTCTGCCAACCCCGAGTGCCCACGGCAGGCCCCTGAGAGAATGACCCAACAGGCCCTGGGTGGCAAAGGGCTGGGCTGGGAAGGGGAAGCTCGCCCTCTGTCCATCAGTCCCCAAAGGCCACCACCCTGTCCCCCGTCCCCAGGAGGACAGCCAGAGAGCCCTGGCTGGGGTGGGGTCACGTGGTTCCCCCCTGCTATGGGGACTGGGGGCGCCAGGGAGGTCACCCCCCAGCACACGGCAGCCCAGGCCCCTCTGCCCTAGCTCTGAGGACCTCAGGTGAGCCCAGGTCCCCTCAGTGCTGGGCAGACGCCAGTGACCAGTGCGGAGCGCTGCACAGCGTGGTTGCTGACCGTGGCCTGGGGCCAGACCCCAGCTCTGGTACTTACCAGCTGAGTGACCTTGGATAAGTCATGTCACTTCTCTGGGCCTCGATTTTGCATCTGTAAAATGGGGACAATGACAACATCTCACAGTTGTGCTATGGAAACAAGCAAAGTCCCATCTCAGGCATTTGGAGACGTGCCAGGTGCGGGTTGGTGGGGGGCAGCAGGGCTGTTAGCAGCACCTCAGAGCCTCTCCGGCTCCGGCTGTATCTGGCCGATGGCTGCCCAGCCCCTGCTTCCCCTAGGCCAGCCAGGCATGAGTAGCAGAGGGACAGGGTCTCTCTCTCTCTCTCTCTCTCACACACACACACACACGTTCTAGGCACTCTGTCCTGCGTGTCACAGAGGTATCAGACACGAGCCTTCCTGGGACACTACAAGTTCTGGAATCTCCTGTCATGGGCCACAAGAAACAGGCCCAGAGAGGCTGAGCACCTTACTCCAAGTCACACAGCCGCAGCCAAGGCACAGAACCAGAAAACACACTCCAGGAGGGGCCTCCAGAGCCCGGCTCTTTCCACAGCACCTCTGTCCCCCAAGGAGCAGGAGACCCCCTCCCTCCTGTCCCTGGATGTGGCTGCAGGGAGGCCGGCCACCGCAGCCCTTCAGCCTGCTGGGTAGCCCCTGCCAACCTGCACAGAGACCTGTGCACGCCGATCATTTTGCAGGGAAGGAGGCAAAAAAAAAAGAGAAAGAAATAAAGAAAGAAAAAAATAGAACAGCCCTGCTAAGCTGAAACGTTCTCCTCAGAGGGGAAGGGAAATAAAATTTGATGAACCTCTGCGTAATGTTCGTGTTATGAATGTGCAAAGGCTCCTCTGCACATATGCTGAGCAGCTCCCAGCCTGGGCCTGAGCCGCTGGGCGCCGCCAGATCTGGGGCACCACGGAGCCGCAGCGCCTGCTGCTGGGGTGCACACGGCTCCCGGGTGCTCCCCCAGCAGGAGCAGTGCCACTGCCCTCAGGCAAGCCACGGGGTGCGCTGCCCACCGCCCAGGTGACAGCAGGCCGCAGCCCCCACGGGACACCTGCTGACGTGGGCTTATTCACGTGTCTGTGCACCGACTCTGGCCCCGGGAGGTCCATGGCTTGGCCAGGGTGAGCCTGGGGGCCGGCCTAACCTGACCCGGGACTGAAGTCACTGAACCGGGGACGGCTGAGCTGAGACCAAGCAAGTGAAAGGGCCAAGGCAGGGCGAGCTTGGTGCCTCCAGGGACAGAAGGGGCCCCTGTGGCAGAGGAAAGAAACCAGTGGTCCCAGGAAGGTCTGGGACAGTCAGAGAGGGCTTCCTGTGGCCCCCCACGGCCCACGCGCCTCCCTTGGAAACTCCCACGTGCCTCGCGGAGCAAACAGAGCCCCCCCAGCCCCAGCCTCCTCTCCTCCCTTCCTGCTGGGACTCCGGCTGGCTGGTCCCTAAGGCCCTGCTTAGTTCCCTGGCACTGAAAGGTACCTCTCCTCCGGCTGCCCTAGAAGTAGACCCTGGGGTAGGGATTTGGAGACAGGGAGCTCATGTGGGAGGTGTCCCGGGAAACACAGGTGGGGAGAGACGGGGCCGGACGGGGAAGGGCAGGGGACAGTAAAGACTGGGTTCAGAGCGAGGCTCCTGCTCTGGGCAACTGCAGCTCAGCCCCACTGGGGACCTCTGGGGGGGAGGTGCAGGGTGGGAGGAGTTCCCACCAGCCTCCAGGAGCACCCATCTCCTGAGCACTCTGGGAGCACCCACGCATCGGACAAAAGCACATCCCGGGTGCGGGATCCCGCAGGTGAGGGTCCTGTGGATGTGCAGTGAGGAGCCCCCCCGGCTGCCTGCCACCCACCAGCACCTGCGGATGTGTCCAATGTGTGGACACAGAAGTGGCAACCTGGGTGGATCCTGGCTCTGGCTCCTCTGCCCTGGGGACACTGCCAGCTCTGAATTTCTTTGATCTTGGAGAGAGACAGAGGAGAGACCTGGCACCCAAACCCCTTCCCATCCCTGTGCAACCTGAAGTCAGTGTCTTCACTTCTCTGAGCCTCAGTTTTCCTCAGCCCAGGAGTGCCTGCTGCAAGGGGAGGTCACAGGATGACAGTGACGCCTGGGGCCTGGCGCAGGCAGGCGGGATGCCGCCGCGGCTCAGGACTAGACTCTCAGCTGTGCCCCCTCAGGGGGTTGGCGTGTGGCTCGGGGAGGCCCTGGGCTCCGTCCCCAGCTCTGGGAGCAGGGACCCCAGGCCCAGCTCGGCTCTTCCTGGACCCACAGGTCAGGCCGAGTGCGCCAGGACCCAGCAGGACAGGCTGTGTGCCAGGACGTGGGTCGAGTGGCTCTGTCACGGCCTCTGATGGAGGGGGCTGGGGGTGGGGCAGACAGGGCCCTGCGAGTGGCCCAGGCTGCGGCCGGGGGCTGTGCTCTGGGGGTGCAGAATGAGCCAGGGAAGGGGCTGGGGCAGCTGGGGGGTGCAGTTGGCACTGGGCAAGGAGTGGCCATGGCAGCTGTCCCCAGGGCCAGGGGGGAGCAGCGGAGAGCGAGGGGGCCCTGAGCAGCACTGAACTCCTCAGGGGGGGCTCCGACAGGCCGGGGTCCGGCAGCCGAGGTCTGAGTGGGCACAGGAGAAGGTGTCCTGGCTCCTCCTCGGGGTGGCCCCAGGTTCTGAAATCCTGACGTCCCCCCTCTGCCTGTCTGTCCCTCCACTCACCCCTCCCTCCCTCCATTCACCTCTCACTCGCCTAATCATCCGTCCACCCACTCCCCTCCCACCCACCCCTGCTCACATCCTCACACCTGCTCATCCACAGCGTCAGCCACCCCCACCCAGCCACCGTCCACTCCCCTACTTAACTGACCACTCGTCCACCCACCCACCAGTCCACCCATCTAACCACCCTCTACTGTCACCTCCTCTGTCCCCATCTGGCTTCTGAAGACTGGTGACCAGATGCAGTCCCTGACCTTCAGGGCCATCCCCCTGTGGCCAGGACAGAGCCCGGGAAGGAATCTGGGTTGGGCACTTGGATTAAGTAGCACAGGGCCAAACGGCAAGTGCTCAAACTGGCCCCCCTCGCGGCTTCCCACGGTCTGGTCACTTAAGCCCGAGCTGACTCCACGGCCCACAGAGCATTAAATAGCTCAGGACTTCAACACAGTGGAATCCAGAAGGCTCCCCCCCCACCCTCCCCCACCTGCCCTCCCCCCTGCCTGCCCTCCCCCTTCCCCTCCCCCCCCACCCCCCTGTCCGTCACTCCCGATTCTGGATGGCCCCGGCGCCTGCTGAGGCCAGACCCCGAGCTTTGGTTTCCCAAAGGTGGCCAGAGGTGCCCGTGTGCGCTGACCTCTCGCGGAAGTACTTGATGGCCTCGGGGTCGATGAAGGTCGGCTCCTCCCGGTAGCCCTGCTCAAACACCTTGCGCTTGTGCCGGAACTCGATGACCGTCTTGGTGTAGGAGTTGAGCGTGGTGACAGAGGCCGCCATGCAGCAGGTGAAGGAGCCCCACGCCAGGCTGCAGAGAGATCGGGGACACGCCACCGTGAGGGCGCAGGGGACAGGAAACCTACGCACACACCCACATTCACCGGGGCTTCGTGCCTGTCCCCTCTGGGCCACACCCTGAGCAGATGCGGCTGAGGACAGCACAAGACCTGGCCGCCCACTCCCAGTGGGATCTGGGGAGAGTCAGGGTCCACTGCACCGTGGACAGCGCTCCCAGAGGGGAGGGAGGAGGACAGCGAGTCATCCTGTCCCAGGGGGCTGGCATCAGGAAGGTCACACCTGCGTCTGGAAAGGGCATCCCTGAAGGGAACATCCAGGCAGAGGCACAGAGACATGAGGTGGCCTCGGGCATCCACAGACCACGGGCCACTCCCTGTGGGAGGTGGGGACACTGGACACTGGCGTGAGGATGGGGATTAACGGGAGGGGATGATGGAGGAGGAGATGAGAACTTTTGTTCACGTGTGGCACGATGTCTAGCCTCTGGGCCTCACATTCTTTGTGTCACTTTGGTGGACGTTCACAATGGCATTGTCTCACAGGGTTGTCACATGGATCACGACGGCCCACAGAACACATCTTGGAATGGAACGAGGAGGCGCTCGGGAAGCTGGCTCTCGTCACTGTGGTCACTATCACCAGGCTTCCCGCTCCCTGCTTCTCTGTGACATGGTTTGTGGTCACAGGGACCTGCTTGGTCCCTATTCCGTGTCTTTCCCAGGGTGGCGGGGAGGCTGGGCTGCCCTCCCTGGACGGGGGTGCTGAGCCCAAAGCTGGGGAGTCTCTTGTCCACCCCAGGACAGAGAGGGAAGGGAGGGGTGAGCTCGGGGTCTCAGCTGGCCACGCGTCAACTCTAGAAACTGCTTCGTGCCCGATTCCCGTGACCAAAGCTGCGTTTGTGTTCGGTTCCAGGAGTGGGGGCCCTGCCCGGCTCCAGCCCCGCCTGACTTGGTTTCTGGTCCCTGTTTCCAGTCTCTGTCTTGAGGACTGGCTTCCTCCACCCCAGGGGTTCCATGGGGCTGTTCCAGCCCTGCACTGTCCCAGCCCCTGGGGCTCCCGGGGACCGGCTCACTCAGATCTGACACTGCTCTGAGGTTAGGGATTATGACAGCCAATTTCTGCCCGATTTCCCGAGCAGCACAGCGGCCTTCGGAAGCTGGTCTCTGGACACCACCCCCCAGCACTTCCCAAGGTCAGGGTAGCCCACCTCCTGCGCCCACTGAGACTCTTTGGCCAGCTTCACAGAACGACAGAGCAAGGGAAAATCCGAGGACTCGGCCTTTCTCAGAGGAATCGCCAATAATCATCTATTTCCTTCAACGCCAAACCCGCCAATAGCTCCCCCAGGTCCTTTGTGATAAGAAGCTCACTGAGGTCTCCCAGACGCCCCGTGTGTTTGTAACACAGTTTGGGGACATGGGCCTGGCCTTTCTAAGAACTTCCTTGTCCACCAAAGCCCAGCACCCAGAGCCACTCACAGACGACTGGACGAGGGCTGAACATCTGGGCCAAGGGGCTCCAATCACCCTCTCCCCCGAGGCTCAAGGTGTCTCTTTATGTTGGTGCCATGAAAACTCAGAACTTGACGGGGGGGACCGTGGGGCAGGGTCCATCCCACTCTCGGCTAACAGGCCCCGATTCTGGGAGGGTCACCCCTGCACTCCTCACAGGTCACCTGGTAGGTGCAGAGGAGCCCCACCCCCAACCCCGGGGGGTGAGCATGTGACCCAGGCCCGGCCAATGAGCTTGCGGCTTCTCTCCAGCCTCAACCCTGGTTCAAGGATGGGCACATGACCCTGGTCAGGCCCAGGAAACTCAATCTCAGGACTTTGGCGGGAGCTCTGGGGAAACAGGGCTCATCTTCCTACAAGAGTGCTAAGCTGGTGGCCCAGGAGCAGCAGGGACCCTCTCGCCACCACCCAGCCCGATCATGAAGCCGAACCAAGAGAAAACAGGGTCATAAAGGAGTGGAAGCCATTATCCCTGGGCCTGTCAATCATGAGAGCGCAGAGTGTTTATTTTGGGGGAGGGGGGTGGGAATTCTAAATATGCACAAAGAATCCCTCCTATTGCCATTTCTAAGCACATCCATTAGTGACCTCACCCAATCAATCCCTGACCACCATTAATCTGTTCTTCATTTCTAGAGTTTCATTGCTTCAAGAATGTTATATAAATGAAATCGTACAGTCTGAATGCTTGGGATTGGCTTGTCCAGTCAGCATACTTCTCCGGTGACTCATCCAAATTATCGTGTAGATGCACAGTTCCTTTACATTGCTGAATAGCATTCTCAACGGTGATGTGTGAATTTCTTCACATCTTCACCAGCATTTGCTGTTGCTGCTGTTTTTCACTTTAGCTACTCTGATAGATGTGCCGTAATATCATCGCAACTTTAGTTTGCATTTCCCCAATTGCTAATGGAATTGAACAACTTTTCCCTTGCTGATATGCTCTCTGTATATCATCTTTAACAACATGTGTGTTCTTTTGCCCATTTTCTAATTGGATGATTTTGTTTTTCTTGACTGTTGAGTGTTGGGAGGTCTCTAGAGAGCTTACCCCTTAGTCCTTCGTCAGATGTGTGATTTGTAAATATTTCCTTTCCGTAGCTGCTCTTTTCAACTTCTTAAAAGGCTGTTTTACAAAATCAAAAGGTTTGATTTTGAGGAAATCTAATTGATCAGTTTTTCCCTTTTACACTTTTGATGTCTAGTCTAAGAACTCTTGGCCTCGTCCAAGAGCCCAAAGATTTTCTCCTGTACTTTTCTAAAAGTTTCATAGTTTGTATGTAAGTCTGTGACCCATTTGGCATTAATTGTTGGAGAAGGTGTGGAATTTAGATCAGTGCTGATTTTTCTTCCTAGACGTGTCTAATAGCTCCAGCACCATTTGTTGGAAAGGTGAAAATTAGGTCCAAACTAATTTGCACCTTTGTCAAAATTAGTTGGGCAACTTATCTGGGTCTATTTTTAGGTGCCTTATTCTGCTCTAGTATCACTCAGCCTGGATTACCAGAAGTATGTAATAAGTCTTGAAATTGGGTAGAACTGTCCCACCTCATTTCATTCTTCTTTTTCAAAATTGTTTCTGTTATTTGAGTTTCCTCACCTTTCCATATAATTTTCAGAATATTCTTATTTATCTCTAAAGGAAATTTTGCTGAAAACGGACAGGTGTTGTATGAAACCTATTTGCCAATGTATGAATTGGTAGCTTCACTATGTGGAGTGTTTTGGTCCATGAACATGGTATGTCTCTCTGTTTATCAAGATCACTTATTTCTTTCGTTGGTATGTTGTGATTTTTTTTTTCAGCATGCAAGTCCTATGGAATTGTGGAATTGAAGCCCATTTCATATTTTTTTTTAGCATTTGGTATCATGTTTTTAGTTGTGTGGTCCAAATTTTCATTGTTAAGTTTATAGAAATATAAGTGATTTTGTATTTTCATCTCAGATCCTAAGATTGTGCTTGGGATTAGGTCTAAGCATTTTGTGGGGTAGACTCCTTAGATTTTTCTACATTTTCTGTCATTTACACGTAGGCAGAGTTTATTTCTTCCTTTCTGACTTGCATGAGTCTTATTTCCTTTGCATGTTTTATTGCACTAGCTAGAACTTCCACACTATTTTGAATAACAGTGGTATTCCCGACATTCATCAGAAAACATTCAGTCTTTCAACATTAAGCACCATGTTCACTATAGGTATTTTGTAGATGTTAGTTATCACATTGAGGAAATTCCCTCTACTCCTAATTTTCTGGGAGAGATGTTTTTCTTTTTTTCCAGTTGTAAATAGATTTCAAATTATGTCATTCTTTTTCTTCATCAATTGATACGATCTTGTGATTTTTTTTTTCTTCTTTAGCCTGTTAACAGGGTGGCGGACACTGACTGATTTTCAAATATTGAACCAGCTTTCATCCTAAAATAAAATCCACTCTATAAATATTCATGACTCCCCGTTGGCTACTATTTCATTAAGGATTTCTAACATCTATATTCATGAGAAACCACTAGTTGGTGGTTCTCTCTCAGGCACTGTCTTTGTCTGCTCTGATGTCGGGATGTTGGGGTTCAGATATGAGGTGTCCCCCAAGAGCTGAGGTGTGAGACGACGCAAGCAAGTCTCGGGGTGAAGTGACTGGGTCAGGAGAGCCTCAACCTCATCGGCACATTAATCCCCCTGAATGGACTAACTGGGGGGTGACCATGGACAGGTGGGGTGCAGCTGGAGGGGGCAGGTCATGGGGAGCATGCCTTTTGTCCCTGGTGAGCTGAGCTCTCTCTCTGCTTCCCGGTTGCCATGTCCCAAGCTGCTTTCCTTATCCACCCCCTTCTGCCATGATGTCCTCACCCTGGCCTGCAGCCACAGAGTTGGCAGTCCCTGGGCTGAGACCTCTGAAACCAAGAGGTCAGGTCTTTTGGTCACAGCAGCAAAAACACTTGTCCAAAGCACAGGATAATACGCATCTCATCAACTTTTAAATTGTAAAATGTTCCCTCTTCTAATTTCTGAAAGAAAAAGTTTTTAAGTTTGACTAGGATGTGTCTTGGTATGGCTTTCTTTGGGTTCTACTATTTAATCTCTTGACTCTGTTGATTCATGTCTTATAAAATCTGGGATGTTTTCAGCCATCATTTGGGTACTTTTTAAGTCCTACCATCTTTCTCTTCTCCTTCTGGAACACCAATGTCTGTTCATGTTTTAAGTCTATTTTCTGTATTTTGTTCAGAGATGGGGTCACGTACATTGTCCTCTCATTGATTCCACTGAGTCCTTCATCTGTTGTTCCCAATCCATTTTCTATTTTGGTCATTGTAGTTTCCAACTCTATACTTTCCATTCAATTTTTCTTCATATCTTTGAGTTCTTTCTGAAGACTTCATATTTTGTCAAGGGTGTTTGCAATTGTTTGTTCGCATATTGTTATCACAAGTGCCTTAGAACCTTTATCAGATAATTTCAACATCTCTCTCATTTCCATATTGGGGTCTATTGTGTTGGGAGTCATCCTGGCTCCAAAGACTAACTTCCCCATCCCCCAAGAAGAGCCGTCCAATGGTGAGCCCCCTGGCTCACATGATCCTTACCCACCAATCAGACTAGCCCCGCTGGCTCACCTGATCCTTACCCACCAATTCAAAAAGCACCCCATGCCAACTGTCAACCCCCCCGGCTCTATAAATATGCAGAGCTGTTCCTCAGTAAACGGGCATTTTCTCCAACGGCAAGCCTTGATCCTTCTTTCACATTGACTGCCCTTTTTTTTTTCTATTCAAGTTGGGATCTCCCTGGCTCTTGAGATGGTCAGTGATTCCAACTGCAATCTTGACATTTTGGGGTATGTTTTGTGAGACTCTGGATCGTGTGTAAACCTTCTGCATTAGCCGACTTCCTCTGACGCCGTGCTGAGTGGAAGGGGTGCTCTGCCTGGTCACTTCCAGGTAAGGGTGGGAGTCTGGATTTCCCGCTGGGCTACCTTTGGCATTTAAGATGGAGATGACTCCTGGTTAATGCTAAGCAGGGTTGGGTTCTGGCTCCAATGAGGCCTCTGGCTGGGAGGGGCAAGGGTCCTTCATTACAGCCCCTGAAGCAGCCTCCACTGACACATGGGGAGGAGCAGTGGTCTCATCACCGTTAGGCAAAAATCCTCTGCTTGTCCTCTGACAGGTACCAGCTGGGAGAAGGAGGCTCTCCTAGCTACTGCCTGGTGGAGGCATGTGGCCTCCACTGCACTGAGGGTGGGGCTTTTTACTGTCCAGTGGGTGGGTCCCCCAACTCTGGCAGAACGTGGGTAAACAGGGAGGTTGAGCTGCCTCATTAAAGCAAAGATGGGTTCCCCATCCCTTGCTGGCCCAGGTCGGGGTGGATTCACTTGTTTGTTTTGTTCTGTGCCTTTGGGCATCTCTGAGTTTCCAACTTCAGCCGGAGTCTGGGATGGATGACAGAACTCACCAAAGCATTATTCCCTGATCCACCTCCCAGAGTCTCCTTGTTTACTGTGTTAACACCCAAGGATTCTAGCTGTGCTGAGCAGGAGGAAGAGGGGAAAAGAATGTCGACTCCGACTTCCTGGAAGTGGAATTCCTGAGCGTTTCTCCTTCTGATCATCCCATCTCCTCTCACACTCCAAAATGTCAGCATTAGGAAAACGAGAGCCTTGTTCGGTTCACTGCGATCGCTTGGCACCTAGCACAGTGCCTGGCACATAGTAGGTGCTCAATAAATAGTTGAGGGGTGAGTGAATAAATGCAGATCCAATGAAAACAGCTAAAAACAGATATGGAAATGCTCCTCTGGTGTCCGCGTGGCTGAGGGGCTCGGGGCTCTGTCCACGAGCCCTCAACTCCCTGTCCCTCTCGCCCTCAGGCCCCAGAGGGCACCCTCACAGGACAGTGAGGACCTTGAAAACTCAGGCTGGAACACGTCCAGGAGTTTGTGGCTTGCATTTCTGAGCTGGTGCAATGAGACTTGTGGGTGCATGGCCTGGTTTTGGGAGCTGGGGGAGAGTGGACACTGGGGAGGAGAGGGGAGGGGTGACGAGGAAGGGGTGGTTGTCCACCTACTCTGTCCTCTAGGAGCTGCAGGGGGAGGGGCGGAGGGGGGCTGAGGAGCGGCTGCAGATCCACATGAGCGCTCCCGGCCCTGCCCCGTGGGAAGATGGTGAGTGACCAGGAGGGAGGCCCGAGAAGCCCAGGTTCCCTGTTGGGGTGGAGCAGGGCACTAGCCCCGAGCCTGGCCCTTCTTGCCCAAGAGTCAGCAGGTGGGGAGCTGAACCCCACAGGCCCTAGGGCGCAGCTGATCCGGCCACGGCTTCAGGGCCCCTCGGGCAGCCACCTCCCTCTCCGTCCTGGTCCCAGAGAAAAGGAGGCCAGAGCCCCGCGGGGGAGGAGTAAAGGCAGCTTCCTGCTGACCACGCAGCCACTCCGCGGTGACAAGCACAGCAAAGTAAGTCTCCCCTGAGGTCTTGGGGGCAGCAGCAGCCCTGCCCCACTAAGGATCAGCTGCCCCGACGCCAGCTCAGCTCTGCAGGGAGGGAGGGGCAGCTGGAGGCCCCACCGAGGAAGGAGCCTGCCCTGCCCATTCCGCAGGGCCCGGGAGGCTGGAGAGGGGGGAGGCCGCCGTGAGGGCCCTGGGCTCCACAGAGCCTGGGCGTCGGGTGCAGAGAGGCGCCCAGGAGGAAGGATGCTCCTGGACCACTGTGCCACTCTCTGCTCTGTGACCTGGGACAGATTGCTTAACTCCTCTGGGCTCCTAGATCACATGGTCTCCCACTCCATGGGTCTAGGGCGTGTCTGCTCTGGATGGGGGTCCCTGGGTGCTGGGCCCGAGAGGCCACCTGCCCTCCTCTCCGTGGAGCCCGAATGCAGAACAGAAGGCGGCGGACGGACTCCCACCCCCTGCCATGTTGACAACCGAGCAGGGCCAGGCGGGCCACTGAGGGAAGGGGGTGGGGAGTGTGGGGCAGGAGGGACAGGTGGGGCCTGGGGCAGGCGAGGCCCAGATGGAGATGCCGGGTACAAAGCCAGTCAGGGCCTGGAGATGTCCCAAGGGCAGGGACAAACGGAAATCTGTGCATCGAGGTGGACCCTTGACCTTGGGGATGTCACAGACCAAACTTAAAGAACCCGGTGGCCAAACTAACCTGCGGGCTCAGCCCAGGGCTGTGACCTGCAGCCTCCGAGGCTGATCACGTGACTTGGGGCCACAGACCTGAATGTCCCTTAGCTTCCTAATCCCTGAAGTGGGGATACCGACTCCTCCCCTGGGGTCCAGGGCAGGGGAGGCAGCTGGGCACAGCTGGTGTCCTGGGCTGGTCCACCACCTCCATCCCTGGAGCCACACGCTGCCTGCTGCCCGGGGCCCAGGTCTTCTTGTGCCTGGGGACAGAGGGGCAGAGGTGGAGGAAGGGCAGGCAGGAGGCTCCCCAGATGTGGCCCTTTGGGTCCCACAGCTCGCAGTGAGTGCGGTGGCCTTACCCAGGCTCAAGGTCACAGCGTCACTGGTGGTCACCGCTGTGATGAAGCAGGAGCCTGGTCCCCATGGCCTTCCAGCCTGGCTAGACACGCGTTCTGTCGTCCCTCAGTGGAGGGGACAGTGGTGACCCTGAGCTCTGGGCCTCGTCACGTGCTGGTGTCACCAGGCTCCTGCTCCGTGCCAGGCCCACGTGCTTCACCCCGAGGCTGGACTCCTTGACTTCTCTGTGCCTTGTGCTCCACTATGATTCACGACTCCAGTGCACACGGCCCACTCTCAAACGTGAGCCCCCTTCCTTTGTCCACTTCTCTGGGTCAGGGTGACTGTGTTCCAAGGTCAAGGTCGTAAGAAGGAACTGCTCAAGGAAGGGAAGGTAGAGGGGCCAGAGCCAAGCTGTTTCCCTGGGATGGTTCTGCTTGTGGGAAGAGGGATGGTGTGAACAGGTCAAGGCCCCTTTAAGGTAAATCCTTTTTGACTAGGAGACTCAAGCCTCTCTCATTGGTTCCAGGAGGGTCACGTGACTTCACTGAGCCAATGGAAGTGTTTCTGACCATATTGGGAAGAAGCCATCTCTCTGCTGGTTTCGCTACATTTGTGATAGGCAAGCCTGGAAATGCACTAGGTGCCATCTTTGTCACCACCTGGGGGAAGCTGCTTGAGGACGAAGCTGATACACACGGAACAAAACAGGAAAGCGGGGGAGAAAGACTGAGCTTTGGATGGAAGCACCTGGTCACCTGGATCCAGCTGAACCTGAAGCAGACATTGCGGTAGCTCATCAGCATCCGTTCCAATCTTTTGCCATTTGAGAGATTTGGACTCATTCCTAGCTCCAGAGGCAGACCTGGCTGGGCAGGGCCAATAAGCTCATGGCATTGTCCCTGGCCTTGGTGGCAAATCCAGACGGACAAAATGACCCAAGCCCTTCAGAGGGAGAAGCAGGCGTGATGCTGTCCATCACCAGGCTCAGCAGCCCTCTGGCGCCATGATCCGCGGCCTCTCCTCCTTGCTTGGACTCAGGCGGGTGGATTTTCCCATTCCGGGGGCAGAGAGCCCCGTGGAGCCACCGGATCTTTCCGTTACAGGAACGAATAAACACCCTGTGTCCACCCACAGGCAAAGGTCCCCTGACTTTTCTTTCTTCTGCACGTGGAACTCTGAGGCGCTGACCCAGCCCCTGTACCCAGGGCTCCCTCCTACCCTGGGGGACCACCAGAATCTTCCCCGGCCCCGGGACCCCAGGCCCCACGGGCTCCCATCTCCACTCCCAGAGCTGGCCAAGGACAGCGGCTGGCCGAGGGCCCAAGAGTAGACATTTTAGACCGTGGACCATTTGGTCTCCGTGACAACGCTCGGGGCTGGGGATGTCGTGTGAGAGTGGTCACAGATGAGACCCCACAGTGCTCCGAGGAGGACTGTGTACCGACGCTGGACTCTCAATCTCCTTAACCCTCACCTGGCCCAGAACATTCCTTATTGGTTTATTTTCAGGGGTTTAAAAATGTGGACAGGACACGGAGCCCGAGGACCCCTGGGAACTGGGGTGAGCCGGCTGTGACTCGCGGGCCGTGGTCTGGAACCCTGCCTGGCTCTGGGGCCTGTTGAGTCCTTGTCGTGGCTCCTGCCCGCCTGGCCGGGCCTCTGAAGCCCCCCAGGCCCCAGGGCTCTGGGCCTCGCAGGCTGTCACCTGGAGTAACGCCACTCACCAGAAGGACCATCCGTAGTCCCAGGAATGGGGCCTCCAGTCTTCAGGGCCGAGGCTCACGGTGACCTGGAACACCTGAGTGTACATCATGTGGGCGACCATTCCCAGGAGGCCTGTGGGCGGGACAGAGGGGTCAGCACCAGAGAAGCCAGAGGGGACCTCGCTCCCCAGCCCCAGGGCCCTGAGCCACCTGCCGGGAGAGAGGCGCCCGGGGGAGGGAGGGTTTTCCAGGTCAAAGAGCCCAGGTGAGGTCAAGGGCAGCCACCGGTCGGAAGCCTTTCTGTAAAGGGCCGGTGAGTACATGGCCTCAGGTCTGGTCTCTGTGCACTGTGTAAGTGAGAATCCTGGCTGTGTCCCAATAAAACTTTATTTACACAAGCAGGCAGGGGGCCGGATTCAGCCCACGGCCATGGTGTGCTGCTGCCTATGTTCTAAGGTCTCCGGGGACAAGCAGCCTGGGGCGTGTCCTTCAAACTGCAGGTCTTCACTAGCTGGGCATATGGTGCACATGGCTCGGGAGGCTGAGGCAGGAGGATCACGAGTTCAAAGCCAGCCTCAGCCAAAGCAAGGTGCTAAGCAACTCAGTGAGACCCTGTCTCTAAATAAATTACAAAATAGGGCTGGGATGGGGCTCAGTGGGTGAGGGCCCCTGAGTTCAATCCCAGTATCCTCCCCCCCAAGAAAAAAAGGAGAGGAGCCATCTGGTACCGTCAACTGTAGCAGGAGTGGAATATTACTTGGTTAAAAAAAATCAGTTCCGTGTATGTGCCCGTGGGTGCAGTGATTATAATGTGAGTTGTGTGGCTCAGAAGCTCTGGCTTGGAGAAACTTTGGCCTCAAGGGATCCGAATGTGAATTGTCTTCCATTGGTACTTTTCCTGTGTGGCCCTGGGCAAGGCACTTCACCTCTCTGAGCCTCAAATCTTTCCATCAACCCCCAAATGAGGATGACGGCAGGTGCGCTGGGTCACCAGTGACTAGAGGCAGGAGGCCTCGGTGCCTGGTGCCAAGTGCACGTGAGTCATTACAGAGCCCAGGGTTCTTTCAAAGCGGGGCACTTCTCTGCGGGAAGCGGGTGTGTGGACTGGGGTGGCTGGAGCCCTCGTGGGTACCACAGCATGTGGCTAAGTGACACGGAGTTAAGCTTAGGAAGCAGGGATAGAGTGAGCAAGCCACCATGCTTGTGCGCCTCCTGTATGCCAGGCCCTCAGTCAGACGCCTTCACCTCCCACGTTCTCTCTTCTCATCTTCATAACAACCCGCCGAAGTAAGGAGCATGATTAGGGCCCATGCACCGTTGTCCAGGTTGCCCACTGCACATTGCTACAGGGAGCGGGTCGTATCACAGTCTGTGAATGCCACTCCCTGACTGAGGCAGTCACACCTGCGAGCTGTCTGTGGCGGCTCCGATTCTGATCATTCCTATTTCAAAGGAAAGAAAATGAAAGCTCCTCGTGGTAAAGTCGGTCCGAGGTCGCACTGTGGATGGCTCGGCTGCCTGGAATGCTCCTGTCCCTCGCCTGGCTGGCCCCGCCACCACTTCCCTAACTCCTAAAGAGGTGGCCAGAGAAAGGGTGGCGGTAAGGACAGGAGTGGGGACAAGAGAGACAGAAGCGAAGAGGGAAAGAGGCTCGAGTCCCGAACCAGCCTGGGGAGGGGGGGACACCCTGCCTTCCAGGGTGCGAGGTGAATGTTCAGCAAATCTGAAAAAATCAAAATAAAAAGGAAAAGGGGGACGTGCCCTAATTTGTAGCATTTGCTAGTCCCCATGCAACCAATGCGGAGTCCCTGGGGCAGATCAGAGGGGCCCCTCCGGTCCCAGTGGACCTCTGTGTCTCTCCCGCCCGACACTTGCCCAGGCCCCACCCAGACGGGGGACTGGACCTTGCCAAGTCTCAGCCAGGGTCACTCCACGGTGCTCTCTGACCTCAGAGGGAGGCGCCTTTTCAGGGCCGTGTGGACGTCCTGGGTCAGGAAGTCCAGGAACGGAGGAGGGTGACAATGACAGGTGCTGAGGTCCCCAAAGACTCACCCAAACCCCCACCAACATAAAGCCTGAAAATTTTTGCCTGTCACATGGTGAAAAACGACAGCCCAGCATTTGGGGTTTTGTATTTCCCTTGTGACAGGTGAGTCTGGGCGGCTTCACCTGATTCTTGACCGTTTTTATTTTGTCTTCTGGGAATGCACCGCTCGTGTCCTTTGTCAACGTCTCTGTGAGCACGTGCTTTTGAAAAGTCAGCTTCCTTCTCACTCGCTGAGGACTCTGTCTATACAGGATACTGACCCTATCTCTGCACGGACGGTTGATGGCCCAGTGTTTCTCTTTCCTCCTGTATAGCACATTAAAAAAAAACTGATAAAGTTTATTTATTTTTGGTAGCAGGGATGGTCCCAGGGGTGTTTTGCCACTGAGCCACATCCCCAGTCATTTTTTTGTTTGTTTTTTTTTTTTTTTGAAACAAGGTCTCACTAAGTTGCTGAGGCTGACCTCCAATGTGTGATCCTCCCGCCTCAGCCTCCTGAGCCGCCAAGATTACAAATATGCACCTCCGTGCCCTGCTAAACATTCCTAAGAGCAGTTTTAGGTTCATTTAAAAAAACTGAGCATGAAGCACAGAGCTCCCATAAACCCCTTTCTGGGCCTGTGCAGTTTTCCCTTATGGATCACGACTCGCTTCTGTAACGGTGGATAAACGCATATCGATACTCTGTGACCGAGACCCATCCTTCATGATCTGGTTCCTTCTTTCTACTGTGGATTCTCTGGGTTTTGACAAATGTATCCATCCACCTGAGCCCATCAGGACAGGCTCATCCAGAATAGAATACTCTGTGGCAAGTCTCCTGGGCCCCACCTGTTCATCCAACTCGGACCAAACCCTTGGCAACCACTGATCTTTTTCCTGCCCCACGGTTTGGGTCATATGCGCTGGAGTTGCACACAATGTCGCCTTTTAGATTGACTCTTTCCAACTAGCAACATAAATTTCAGGTTTCTGGCTTTTCCGGCCTGATAGCTCCTTCCTTTTTATTTCAGGAAAAAAACATTCCATTCTCAGGACGCGGCATGTCTCCATCTCCATCTCCCCTCGGCTGGACATCTCGATTTGGTCACGCGTTTTTGAAGTTGGTGCAGAACATATCTGTCTTTCCCTTTGTGGTCTTGGCTTCCTGGAGCTACTTTAAGAAAACCAACACCGTTCACACGGTCTCCTATATTTTTCTAACGGACCCAGAGATGTTGATGTTAATCCGTCAGGAATTTACTTGGAGGATTTGCAGAGGACGGGAGGCGTGGAGAAGACTTAAGTTTTGCATTTTTTTTTTCAATTAACAAATTGCCTTGAGTTCTTACAGAACAGTCCCTTCTTTCCTCACTGACTCTAAACGACTCCATTGTACAGGTCTGAAAGCATCCAGAACCTGAAAATCCAAAATACTCCAGAATCTAACCATCTTTTGGGCACTGAGTTGACACCACCACCCGGCCCCACGTGACACATTGCAGTCCAGGCGCAGGTGTGTTAAAACCATCGAGGAAATCATCTTGCGGCCGAGTGTCCGAGGCGTGGAGGAAACAGGCAAGAAGCTGGTGTGGGGACTTGGCTCCCTCCCACCCCTGAGATGGCTCTCCACGTGTCCGTAAATATTCCCCAATCCGAAAAAAATCCAAAATCCAAAGCACGTCTGGTCCCGAGCATTTCGGATAAGGGATCCTCAAGCGTCCCCCAAGCCCTGTTTCCCGAGTCATCGATCTGTCCCACCGGCCCCTCTGTCTCTGTTCCTGTGACAGTGCCACACTGGTTAAGTCATCAGACCTTGGTGTCCTCCGTGATCCAGGGCAGATCTCTGCTCCTTTGGTCTCGAACGGGCTGCCCTCCCCAGGAGCCAGCCCCGGGCAGGCAGGGCATGGACACGGTCCTTCTCCTCGCTCTCCAGGTCCTCGGCTATTACGACGGCCTCGGCGGCTCCCACTGAGCCACACCCCCAGTCGTTTTTTTGTTTTGTTTTGTTTTGTTTTTAAGCTTTATATCAGAGAGGCCCCTCCGGCCCCAGTGGACCTCTGAATCTCTCCCGCCCATCACTTGACCCAGGTCCCATCCAGCAGAATGCCCAGCCAGTCCGGCTCCTTGGAGAGTTACCTGACTTCCCAGTTCCTTAGATTTTCCATCTGTAAAATGGGAATTGTGGGCAGGCACATCTGAGGAGCTTCGGCGAGGAAGGGAAGTGAGGCTGAGCGGAGCCGGCCTTCTGGAAGGACCGGGGAGACGTGACCCGCGGTATCTTCATGTGACACCTCCCAGCTACGCCCGGAAGGCGAGGCCCAGCCTGCTGCGGAATAATTGATTTCCCAAAATCTTAGTTGAGAAAAGCATCGATTCCTAAATTGAATTCCATTCATCCCCAAACAGGAAAGGCCGGGCTTTAGGAAAACTCAATAAATGAAAATTACAATTCACTCAGAGACACCTCGGAGAGACTCCGTGATCGCATTTTAAAGAGTCTGCTTCGAAAAATGGGCCCTCGGTCTCGTTGTGAGACGTGAGTTTGTTCTGTCCAGCGGGGTCCGCGGCAGGGTCTGTCCCGAGTGTCCTCAGCTGGAGGGACGCTCCCAGGGCCTCCAAATCGGGAAGAGACTTCCCACTGCGTTGGGGCACCTGAGCCTCATCCTGAGGTGGGGACAGGTCCTCGCTGCTCGAGGGGGGATCCTGAGAACCCTCGGGGTGCAGGATGAGGTCAAGGGCCCAGAGCCGGGCTGGTGGGGGGCCAGCCAGAGGCCAGAGCAGGACGAGCTGCCCCGAGACTCCCAGCTGCTCCCGCCGGCCAGACTGAGAGCCGAGTCTGTGGTCAGGGCCGGGATCACAGAAAGTGATCTTCTTTATTTTTTTAATTGATTTTTTAAGAAATAAACGACAGCGGAATGCATCCCAGTTCTTATTACACACAGGTATTTGCACTTAAAACAGCCCTGGGCACGCGGGAGCCCTCGTTAAGTGTTCTGGAGTGGTGAAGGCGCACGGAGCTGAGACGCACGGCGCACGCCACGCCGCGGCCCTGGTCTGTTTTGCCTCCCACTAGGTCCCCAGCACCTCGCCCTGTGCCTGGTACA